ATTCATGATCCACCAAGGGTTCGTCGTTGGACAGAAGAGGGAGGATTTGCCATCGAGGGAGGATTTGCCATCGAACTTCGGGCCAGAGAAAAAAACAGTCATTAATCCGTTACTCTCTGCCTCGCATAGTGCACTGGTCGTCGACATCATGGATAATAGCGTAGTGTGGCATACACCAGATACAGCATTGGGACTTGCTCAACAGCCGATACCGCACGATATGTCACAAACTGGTAGGTGGCAGTAGTGTTCTTTGAAAAACATGGATGTCTCCGGAAAAGCATATTCAAATGAAATTACTCTGAAATAAAAACACTTATCATTTATTGAAAAGTATGTAATAATTTCATACATTTGTGTCCTGAATGTGACCCGACTTTTCCTTTAAGATGAGAACAGGTTTAAAGGCTGGACAAGGCAAAGCAATGGAAAACAGTACAGCATTGTGGGCCATGCAGACATCTCAACAGTTTGCTTTCACCTTCTTCTTTCATGGTGCTACACTTCTGTTTTTCTATGTTTTGATAACAAGGTGACAGTGTGCTAAGTCATTAAGTGCCACACTCTTTGACATGATCGCATTGGGGGTAAAAACATGAGGAAAGATAATTTTTTCCGATCAGGGAATTTCCTGGGGGGCTCTGTTTTACACCACTGTAAATTTACAAAGACACTCAAAGTCTAGAAGTGTTTTAATAAGACAAAAAAACTAATCAGAAAAGCAATGAAGTGGCCCATAATAACCGCGGAAGAGCAGCAGACATTCAGATCTCAGGGATTTCGTAACAGGAAAGGAATGAACTCTGGCCTCACTTTAAAGAGTGGCAGTAAGGAAAATATTAAAGCAAGAGAGGGAAATGCCATCTGCAGATTGTCATGCAGGAGAGACAACAGATGTCTAGATGAAGGAACCCTGTTCAGATGAGAGAAAAATAAAATTATTTTCTCAGATGCAAAATGCTATACTTATATATTAGAGGAGTACACCTAGATCCTAGACACCTAGATCCTTTTACCCTGAAAACGATCCCCACGCTCAAACATAGTGGTGGCTGCATTATACTGTGGATAAGCGTTAAAAGGTAATGGAACATGGTTTCAATAAAAGGATAATCCAAGAGTAAAACCTATTAGAAGCTAAAGAATTCAGGCTGGGATAATTGTTCACCTTCCAGACAGACAATTACCCGAAGCATATAGCCAGAGCTAAAATATGATGGTTTAAATTAGACCATAACAATATATTTGAATGGCCAGGTGAAAGTACAGTCCTAAATCTAAAAGGGAAACTGCAGTAATATTAAACTGTGTTGATAGATGCACTACATCCAATCTAAGCTAAAGCAAATTAGAATAAAATAGTTAAGTTAGGAGGTGCATTGAGCTTTTAGAAAGATACATCAATAGCTCTTATATGGCTCTAATATTGGTGAAAGAAGGTTTGGTAAAGTATTGTTTATCAGGGCATGATTATAAATGCTGACCGTACCTTTATTTTATATTAGAACCCACAAAGCTCACAGCTTAAATGTATGCTCTGCTTTGTATTGCTGAAGTTTCAAAGAACTTATTGTAGCCAGAGTCAAAATTATGAAAAACAAATTAGAACAAAGAAACAGAAAGAGTTTACTAAACTTTAAGAAATATAGATTAAGACATCTTTAAAACAGTACAGGGAACAAGTTTCTTGAAAAAAACGTCTGCTTTTGAATGAATCTCAGAGTTTTTTGCAACACTACCATGAACAAAGACATCCATTACTGTAGCTTCTAAGTATAACAAATTCAGTTTTCATGTCCAGATACTGTTTGGATGCCTGATTCACTTTGGGTCACAGAGTTTCCTCTTTGCTTGTAGTTTGTGATGATGCTGATCCTTGCAGCTCTCACCAGGAAAAACAAATTGTGCCAGGGGTTCGCAAGAGGATCTTCCAGCATTTTCAGGTAAATATAGGAAACTCTGAGATGAATAGTGTTTTAATAAAAATCTATATTAACCAAAAATGTCTACACAATCCCTCAGTCCAGCAAACTTCCTAGACCAGACTCAGCAGAAGGGTCTGGTCATGGCTGTGTTTGGACTGGTCTTCAGTAAGCTGGCCATGCTGGTGATTTCCCCAGACCCTCTGCCATTCATCAAAGATACTCCAGTGAGCATTAGAGGTGATTGTGACCAAAGGCTGTCTTTAGAGCAGATGGGATGGAACTTTTGTTTCACTAAGTCACCATGATCTAACCTAAAGCAGAGCTTAACAACATGTTTTTCTTTATGTTTACAGAGTACATGAAGATAATTGCTATTTTCTACTATCCTGTCCTCTACTATCCTCTGCTGGTCTGCGGCACTCTGCAGTGCAGTGCTGGTTATGTGTTCGGGGCACTCCTTTCTTTCACTCACTTTGGGGTTCTGGTGTGGCAGAAGTTTGATTGTGCAAAGACACCAGAGGTAAATTAAATACAAATTTTAATATTGAATATTAACTCTCAATTCAATGTCTTCATTCAATATTGAATATTGAATGAATACATTGGAGCCATATGGTCAAATCTCTTTGACATGTCAGCTATGGCACCTGACAAAATGGGAGATACATCTAGAACCCATATCAGTCCCACTATTTACCCCCAAATACTTGTGCTTTAAATATATCTATGTAAGTAAAGGTTCTTAATTCAACATGAACATGATTACAGCTATTATCAATTCAAGAACTTTTTTGTCTTTGTAACCACAAAGGTCTGGTATTCAAACTCTCAAAACTGGCTAGATTGGGATTATTTAATCTAACTTCAAATGCAAAAGTTGGGCTCTATGTGATTTGTCGCCCAATTTTGAACAGACAACAAAACTATGGAGCCAGAACACTAGAGTAATTTAGTAAATCTTGTCTTATGATTCTATACATTTTATATGCTTGTTACAAGCATTGTCTGCATGTGTAGATTTGGTCCTGTTCATGTGTAGATCTTGTCCTATGCATGAGGGAATCACATACTGTATGAGGCTCTTCTATCTTCATACAAAACAACACCACTTTATGTCTGAAGTTGATATTCCTCAAATCATTGTATAGATTAAAATAATTAATCATTTAACAACAGCTAAATCTCACATATAGCCAGTTTATTTCCTCTTTTAAGCCCAAATAGATTTTGCTTATGCTTGCAAGGTATCAAGTAGACCAAAAGCCAAAATGGGCCCCTTGTATCAGACCTACTTGGCTATACTAAGCACAACCCACAATAGAAAGATAAATTGGGCTACGTATGTAGGTCAGTTCAGAGTAGAGAAAGTGTTATGGATGCAGATGGACCAGAGTTCTGCTCAAAGCTATCCTGCAAAAATGTATTAATGATGATACAGTGTACAATTGAAAGCACTATTAAGGTTGGTTTTCTCAACCTTCAAAATTGCCCTCATAAAACACAATGAAGCACTGGTGAAACCCATCTGATTTTTCCTTTAGTCATTTTCTGTAATCTTTTTTACTGACTGGATACTCCTGCCAATCCCTGACTGAACACATCACTCCTTATAACAAATAATCAATAATTCAGCCCTTTAATCACTCCATATACTGTACCTTATTTTTTATTATTTTTACTTTCTTAGAAACAACCGTTAACATAATCTCTCAGTATCTGACTTGGTGCTATTTTAATACTTTTAAATGTGTTAATATGTATAGCTAATTTAAGTAAATGTTTCTTATACAAGCTCAAAGGATTGAAGTAAATTCATTGTGCTTATAATTAGGACACTGCCAGAAATACTTGAAAAGTTAGAATAGGTCACAATACAGTTTATATGATTGCATAGTTGTATTTTGTTTCATTCTTTTATTTTAATGTATCAAAAATTATTTTTGACATTAAATTATCTGTATACATCCTTGCTATGACTCCAATCATTGGCCACATGGCAGCAGTACAGCAATGGTAAAGAAACATTTACAAAATATAACAATTTTGCTTATCAACCATTATACTCATAAACAGGATTTAAAGATTTACAAAAGTCACTCAGACTCCTATTGAATGTTATATGACCGATAATAGAAAATAAACACTATTTATAGTTAATTTTCAACACCAAGCAGGTTGCAGCTTTTTAACAAAGCAACATTCTTAATCCTCAACAACATTTTTTGGGTTTAAAATATCTGCAAAAGTAGCTTTTCTCTATACTCATCTTTGCAGATCTATAAGTACTATGCCCTCCTTGCAAGTCTGCCCCAGTTGGCCTGTCTGGCATTTCTCTGTGTTCAGTTTCCTGTGCTCTTTGTGAAAGGACCAAAGACGGATGAGGTAAGAGTCCCAGCTGATATTACATATTATTATTTAGTAGCTACAACTTGGATGAAACAATAAACTCTTCTTACTTATAGGATCTTGACAGCAGCTACTACACTGACTATGTTAAGTCACTTCTCAAGAAAAAGTCCTCATCTGTTAGGTGAGTTGACAAACAGTGTGACTTACCATGATGGATTTATTGAAACACCCGGTTATGTGGTTTCCTCAGAAAATAAATAAATAAATAGTTAATAATAATACATGCTCATTCAAGTGTATTTTGATATTTTTATGCAATAACATTTTATGTGACACTGTCACCCCTTTTGCTATCAATAGAGCAACATTTATGGTTTTACTCTTAGCTCTGGAGGTGTATTCGTTTTAATAGTGGTACAGTAGCACTTTTTCAAAGAAGAGATTTATTTTTCTCAGACGATGAAACGGAACAGGAGAAAGAACTGTATCCATACCTTTGTTTTAGCTGTTGATCCACGGAAAACGATTAGATTCTTTTCATTTCAAAAAAAATAATAAAACCTATTCTAAAATTGTTATGCCCTAAGATAAGCGTTTTAAATCTTATAATAAAAGTCTTAGAAATCTCAAAATAACATTTAAGGCTTGTATTAACTACAGTATGTAGTCCATAACATATATGAACTTCACTTTCTAAAATGTGTACAGTTACAAAAAAGTGAAGTAGTTCACAGCACTCCATATCTTTTGACTTTTAGTGGATCAGGAGGCTTTAGCTGCGTTCCCCAAACATACTGTATTTTATGTAGGACTGTGAGATGCCTAGAATCAGACATTTTTTAGACATTGAGTTTATATCCAGCATTTTTATCTGATGCAACTTTGTAATTTTCTTTTACTTAAATTTCACCAGCAAAAATTTCACCAGTAAAAATGTGGCTGCAAATAATCAGCTGCATACATTCAGCTACAGTATATCAGTGGTATGTTGTCTTAAGATGGACTGGTGACTTCATAGACTACATAAATGCCTGTCCCTTCATGAACAGACTTGTATAGATATTTAATTAATGTAAGGGACATGACAGATAAATGTGCACATTTTTATTGTGTTTCAAAAGCAAACATAAAATGCATCGGATGCAACAGAGCTAAGAAAATATGCAAGCTGAAATTTTGCTTTTGGGTTATGTGCTACAGGATGTCACACTTGTTCACATGTTTTTTTTTCTGTTAAAAATAATGTTAATTCATAAACTCAAAATGTTATTATACTGAAATAAATATGCAGCTATTTGGTAAAATCTGTTAACATGATATTTTTTGGTGATAGTGGATAAAAAATGTTCTGCTCTCTGTGTTTTTTTTGCACAACAGTTCCTCTGAGGCAGATAAACCATCACTGGTAGAGAGAATACTGGAAGTGCCAAAGAGTTATATTTATTTACCTGAAAAAGGTTAGAATTTTTACACTGATACTGATTTTTGTTACTTAATTGCTTTGAGACTTTTGGTGGTTTTCTATCCTAATTCCAGTGTTTCAGTTTCCTCTGAAGCTAGCAGTCTCGTCCTTTGTTACCTGTGTGGCCATCTATCAGGTACGCCTCTATATTAATGATCATTTCCCTTTTTAGTAAGTGAATATGTCAGGAAGTATCAGTGTTTTGCTCCTTAGACTGCGCTGTTACTAGTTGTCCTGGTGGTGCCTACTCTTCACATAGTCCATGCAGGAATTGATGAAAACATCGCCTTCCTCTTGCTGGGATTTGGGATTGTCTTATCAGATGACAGGATGGAGGTTGTCAGAATTGTGACTTTCTACACTTGGTTGCTGGAAGGTGTGTGAAGTGTTTTGTATTGCATTTTAAAAGCAATTGAAAATCAGAATTTAAACTAGCATTCCCATTTTGTTTTTGTTTCATGTACTGTTAGTGTGCTACCTCTGTGCAATGACGCTGTCTTGTTTGGTCAGCCTTGTAATGCTAATGAGGTCCATGGTTCTTCACAGGTATGTGCAGTCAAACATCCACACAGAAAGATAATCTTTGTAAAAAAAAAAAAAAAGAAAGAAATAAAATCAATGATAATCTACTGCATGATGTCATTTTACTCAACTGTTTCTCAGACACCTGAAATTTGTTTTGTTAGTGCACATAAAAATAAGTTTAAATATGTTTTTCATTTGGATTTGTTTATTATGTGTATTTTCATGACTAGTAAAATGTCAGACATTGTTTCTATATGCTAACCTATTAACTCTTTGATTTCGTTTAATTTCAGAACAAACCTTAAAGGACTTTATAAGGGAGATGTGTATAAAAAATTTAACAGCCAGAAGACCATCAGTCCATCCAGATCTGGTGTTTTCTGCTGGATGGGTCTAACCGGATACCAAGCTGCAATCGTTTGCCTCGGTGATAACAATAATAAAAAAATAATAATTTATAATGTTATAAAAATATCAAAAGTTTGACAAACTATTTTCCTAAATCCATTCAACAACAAACAAAACAACACCCTGGAACCTAATAATGAATGAGCACTGAAAAAAATAAAAATGCATCATAGTCAATTTTATCCACACATTTCTTTTCATGCAGACCCTAAAACTTTTTTAAAGCTATTTCATACTACTAAAGTTATTCTGCATTACTGCTAACTGTGTTAACTACTAGCAATGTTAAAATTAATGTTAGCATGTGTGGGGGGTTTTAGAGGATCCAAATGCAGAGACGGAAGCAGAGGTGATTTCTTGCAGAATTAATAAACAATGGTGCAATTAAAGCATAAATCAAAACATAACTCATCACCAAACACAGAACCAGAACAAAGGGGAACACATAGGACAAGGAGGGAATGAATGAAAGAAGAGAAACCAGCAAACAGTAACTGAAGAGGAGGATTATTAATGCCAAAACCAACAAAGAATTTAGTAATAAACTGATTGGAAGCAGGTGTGGACAGAAGGATCTAGAGGGGAGCTAGGGGAAGGAGACTGACACAAGGGGGCAGCAGAGAGGAAACAATAAATATATAAGACCTCAAATACAACCAGAAAAAAAAATACAAAGACACAGAATGGAAATGAAACCAGTGAAAACTCAAAAACAAAAATTTAAAGGAACCAAAAAGTGCAGAACCATGTCTCATCATGCATCATCTTGACTTTTTTACATTACCAGGGTTTACTGTATACAGGAATAAGTAGCTCTAATTTAATGCTTTTTAATGCGCTTACAAATATTTTTAATGCCATCAACAAGTACCCATGACTCTCATTTACACACGGTAAAATCCTTTGTCATCTTTACAGTCGACAGGCTGCAGCCATGTCCCGAATTTCTCGTTTTCCAGCAACTTTTGTTTGAATTAGCATTTTCCCATTCTCTAGCTCGAGCTTCTTTTCCGAACATACGGCTTTACGATCAAACGGAAGCAGTTCAGGGCAAATATATTGTTATATCTGAAGAAATTGTTTTTATAAACGTTTTTTGTTTTATAAAGCATTTTAAAAGCCATGATAACCACATTTAATAAATTTTAATGCCAATTAAGGCCTTAATTTAAAAAATAACAATTTAATGACTTTTATGATTTTTAATGACCTGCAGCAACACTGATTACATACACAGCTATAGGTCTATTTCTATTTCAATCATTGCATTTGTAAGCTGTCATCATGTATTATTTTATGGAATGTGCACAACAATCTACATACAATGTAGCCACAATCTTTTGTCCTGTTAGCCATAGTGGCTGGCTGAAATTGCAACCTCTTTCATTAGAAACATATTTTTCATTTTTCAGATATCTGTACAGTAATAAAAAAACAGATAAATTCTAGACTGAGACAACAGGAACTTCCGCAAATTGCTGTAAAAAATATTTGGTTGTAAAGCTAAACAGCAGTTGGTGGCATTCCCAGGTTTTGATGAAATTTTCTTAATTTTTGTATAAAACAGCCTATGATATGCATATTTAGTTTTTCTATTTTTATTTATCTTAAAGAAACAAATAAAAAAAAATTACTTTAATTATACAATGATTTATTTCACTGACAAAACCACCGCATGTATGCATATAGTAACTCATAATGGCTTATTTTCTGGGCTCTAATTCTCCACAACCATGTTGTTGACATATGATATAAACAAACAATGATTTTTATTTTCAATATTAGATTAGTATGCATTCATGCAATATTTTTATTCTGTTTATGTAGTTATTTTTAAAAGGTGGAAAAACACAAAATGTGAATTTAGAGAGTGACATATTCCAATGTACTGATGATGAATTATGTTCTAAGTTAAAATTAATCCTCGATATATGATTTATTGGCAGGAATGGCGATCCAGACCTTAGTTTTTTTCATCTGCTTCTTGTTTCTGGTATTTTTAATCATCATTCCTATTTTTTATGGCCGTAATATTATCGTTTTTGAAGTTGCTGGAAAGACATGGTGAGTAAGCATCCTTAGTGAATTTCCATTTCAAACATGTTTCACATCAGAACAAACATACTGATGTTTTCTTCTTTGTGACTTTTTTAGGCCAGTTTGGGTGACGGTCATATTGGTTACGGTACTTCAACATGTAACTGCTAAGATTTTCTTTGTCAAAAAAGACGCTGCTACAACAGACTTGAATAACAGGTCTGTATGTGTTGAACTTTGCTTATTTTTGTATAATTATTTGAACTGAATGAACATGATAAAAGGACTAAGAATAATTCCTACATAAGCTTTAATGAATATCCATTAACAACAAGTAAATATTAGTTAACTTATTGAGAAAAATCACAATAAAGTGTTTGATTTCCACTTTAAAATCAAGTGTATTATGTTTTGACCTCTGTTAAAGAAACAGGTTCAAGTTTTCTAATGATGTAGAAAGACAGAAAAAGACCAGGTTATTTGTATGTACATATCAAGAGGAATATTAATCTTTCTTACATAGAGTATTGCATTGTGTACAAACCAAGATGAAGCTAATGTGAAATAATGTAAAATCAATCATTTACAGTTTTTTAAAAATAATTTAAAAACTGAAAAAATTAACTGCTAAATGTATCGTAAATGTTACAGAAATATACAGTTTATCATCTGCATATCTTGAAAAAAATGTTTCTGAAGTGCTTGGCTTGGGAAAGGATTTAGATATTGAATTTAGGTGGTTTGAGAATAAATCTATAACCATGAAATAAAAGAAAGTGGTATGAATCTTTCCAGTATGCCTGTGTAACTTTTATGTCATCCAGGTCTTGGTGTTGAAACGTTTGATTGCCGATTTAAGACTGTCTTGTTATTTCCACAGTAACATTTAAAGAAAATGTAACTAATATAGAAATAACCAATTTATCCTTTTGAAATAAATATGTTGGTTACTTTCAGAGAGAGCCTCTTTCTTCTCACCTACCTTCTGTTTGTGGCCAACATTGTGGTGGGATTGATTGCCGCTATTTGGAGAATGATGATAACAGCTTTGTACAACATCATCCACTTTGGTCGGATAGACATCAGCCTTCTCCACCGAACAGCCGAGTCCCATGATCCGGGTAAAGACAATTCTCTTACAATCTGTATTTTTTCAGATTCATTTGATCACGATTTTCTTAAAGCGTTTGATTTGACCTCGAGCTTCTTCTGCATTTTGACCCATCCAGCTTACAGATATTACACTCAGTTTCTGAAGGTGGAGGTCAGTCAATCTCACCCAGTGCTTAAGGCTTTTTGTGGACTACTGCTGGACATGAAGGTTGAGACTGGCAGAGCCGGACAGAAAATACAAGATGCAGAAGAAGGTAGAGAGACTTTGAGCTACAAACACTTACAGTATGCATATGTGTGAGTTTTAAGAGCTAATATCAATGATTCCTCCTTCAAGCCTTAAACTGGAAATGTCAGTCATGACCACTAGACACATCTAATTTTAGGGTACTGAGATTTATTGAAAGAGTGTTCAGCTCTTTCAATAAATGTGTTTCTAAAGTTGACTCAAAGGACAGATTTATTATAGAAATGAATAATTCTTGAAGTCATTCTTGATGCTGAAATAGCAAAAAAAAAAAATTGCCAACAGAAAGTTTATCTTTTAAATTAAATAAATAATTACAAAACTGTGTATATGATATTACCACCAGACAGTATTTAACTAATTGGTAAAAAAAAAAGAAAAATGCTCTCAACAAAAGAATAATTGCATTGTAAACATTGTATTAATGAGCCTTAATTCCTTATCTGTAATTGTAGAGGTGTTTTTTTTTTCTTTTTGACAGACGCTCTTTAATAATAGAGGTTTACAAGAATGCTATGATTTATAATTAGAAATAAAAAAAAACACCAACTTAGTTCAAATCTCTCCAGCCAATTAAATATAAACTTATGGTAAGGGTCTCCAGTTGAATTAGGGAATGTGTTTCATCAACAAATTGAGATTATTAAAAAGTTATGGTATTTCATACTGATGTGCAAAAAAAAATAAAAAAGTTATAACATATATTATGTAAGGTACTTAATTAATCTAATCTAACTATATGTGAAAACTTTTTGAAATGATCAGTTTCTCCTTCTGGCATCTCATTGTGTCCTAAACATGTCCCTCCTTCATGGTTGCAGGAGTTCAGGAAAACGGATCCAACAAGGCAACGAGCAGTCGAAGGGTCTGTGCTCGCTGGCAGCTGATGTACACACTAGTGAACAATCCATCACTGCTGGGCTCCAGGAAGCACTTCCAGACACTACAGAAATCTGAAAGTGTCAGGAATGGCACGCCCAACCGCAGTTCCAAGAAGAGCAGCCAGGCGGAGGCAGTAAAGACAGAAGCAGAGCCTGTTCAGTCCTCTGAGAGTCCATCAAGTCAGGATAAAACTGAATAAATCAGCAATATACTCCAATAACAATAGATTTAGCACTTAATGCACTTACAAACTTTTAAGTAAAGGTCATAAAATTATATTGCTACACTGGAATTAATATGGATTAAGTATTGGCCCAAATGTTAATCAACAGTTAAGGAACAGTTTAAATTGAATTCTGTCTCTGTCTCATTCTCTGCAGTCCTTATTGTAAGATGAGTAAAGTACTGCATTTACTGTAGAACCATTTAAATGCCCTAACTTTGTGTAATATAAAGCAGGGCCTCCTCTTAATGCTGCTTTGATTACATATCATGTTCATATAATGAATAACACCAAGAGTGTAGATAGCTTCTAGGTCTAGAAATATTTTGTGCATAGTATTCTTCTATTTCAATCCATGTCAGTAAACCCTTACAGAGTTGTGAGCAAAATTTATAGTGACATTTTACTGAATTTAAACCAGGTCTTTTCTGGACAGTTTAACTTAGTGTTATGATTGAACTGTCTCCAAAAAGAGATGAGTCTTTGGTTAAAGTTTTTCTTATAAACAGTCTTGCAATGCCTTTCATAGTTAATAGCAGCCCTGTATTCATATAAATAACTTATATTGGTAACATCACAGCATTTCTATAAGATTTCACAGGTTTTCTGTAGGATTTAATTCTTGTAAAAGTGTTTGTCAAAAACAAAAACACAGAAAAATAAATTCCAGTGGGATAAAGATGACATAAAATTACCATATGAGAATATTGGTCTTGCATCTGTTTATTTGGTCATTTGTTTTAGATAAATAAAATCCAGGATCCAACACTAGTTGTTCCATGTCCTTTGAATGAGGAATATGTCCTTATCATAACAATATATCCATTAAATCTAACTGCTTTTCATTAAGACACAGTCACTGGTTCTGCCAGATATAGCTGGTTATTGGTTGGATAATAAGGATATATGTAAATATTATCAATAACAATATAAAGTTTAAAATGGCCACTGATACAGTCTGTTCAGTCTGGTTCTATGGTAAGAAAGTTGTGAGGACTAGACCAAAGGATGGTTAACATGATGACAGTTGAAGTGGGAAACATGTTGCTTCCTGTTGCTGTTTCAACTCACATAGTAGGAATCATAGTCAGAAGCAAAATCAGTTTATCATGGGCAGGCGCCCTGTATAATGGTAACAATGGAGGTTAATTTACAGCATATGTAGGTCAGGATACAGTTGATCCCAAACTAGGAAAAATAATCTAACAGCTTTCCTTTTATATCATTCTGAAGTTTTAAAAAGAAACCCAGCCACTTATGGACCATGAAGATTTATGGTGCATTCACGCCAAAGTAACAGATTTACATCCAAAGTCTATGAGGGATGGTGTAGAGAGGTCCAGTGGTGCATGCGGGGAGCGGGAACGGCACATCCAAGCGTTTTCGGATTCCAGCATTCTAGCGTCTGATTGTCAGCGTGTCGGAGCATCCGACCATTAAGCAATTTAAAATTTTCCTGCTGGATGCTGGAGCATCAATCAGAAAAATTGATCAAGGGTTTTTTTTGGGGGGGACACCAACACTACATGAAATCTCTTATTACTTTCGCAGAGCTGTCTGCCGACAAAAATATTCAATTTTATTTTCTGGTACTTGTAGTTTTTACCACAAACCTTAAAAACTCTTTATATTCACTCTTCCAGCAGCTATAAATGGCAGCAGGAAGTCCCCCACTGGCTGGCTGCAGCAGAGAGCTTTCAGAGGGGATCTCCAGCACTTCCAGCTAGAACAGGCGTCAAAATTTAATAATTTAAGCGTTTTCCTGCCCAAATCATGTTCAGTTTTAACGCACCATTAACTTAAAAGCTGACTGGATCTGGTTACTATCAGCCTCCAAATCTACTGGCAGGCCAGAACAACCCTATAATACAGTAGATGTTCTGGCCTGCCAGACTACTTGCATTGTGAGAGCGCATTAGTCTGGAAAGGAGCGGGAAACTCCTGGAGCAGGACCAGCACTAGCAGATAACAGATACAGTGGAAACAGGTTAGAATCAAATATATAATTACAGACAGAACCAAAGACACATTATTTTAACAATAAAAGCTCTTACAGCAGCCAGTCCTTAAGATTTTAAATAACTTAAGCTAATCCAGGACATAAGAAAAGAACTGTGCATAATGGGTAATTCTGAAGCAAGCATAAACCTCCTCCTTTCTCACTATAATTGGTCCAGTAAAATCTAAAACAGTCCAGGTAAGTATTCAGGAGGAAGATCTTGGTCTCTGAAACAGAAGCAAATGGTGCTAAAAGCAACAAACGACTCATTTTATGGGTGGGGTAGATGTGGAATTTATCGCTGAAGCAGAACATCGCTTGGATTCGTTCTCAGGAAGAGGAGGTTTGGCCACTTAAAAAAAAAGGGTGGACAAAGTATTTTTGTGTCAGTAATACAATAGCCTTATGCAACTAGAGTAAAATATTAATTTGTGTAAGGATTTTTTAACATCAAGGGGTGCAAACAAGCTTGGGTGGTTCTGTAATTGTAGTGTGTCATACCAGTCTATTTAGAAACAAAGTAGTCCATCAACTCTTTAAACAGCCTTTTTAAAATCAGCATGCTTTAAGTTAGATATTTAAAAGCATAAAAAAACAGTAAAAGATCATACCTAACAATATGGAGTATCAGTGTTATCTCCATAACAAACATTTTATTTCATAGCAGTCTGTTTAATCTGATGCATAATCCAAAAATAAAACTGTTATTTCAGAAATGTTAGCAGGTTTAAAAAACAATAGCTTTCAACAGACATACAAAGCACAACAATCTGAAGCTGGATTTAGCTTTATTTAATAACAGTTTATCTGACTGCTCTGGGAATCCTTTTCTTTTCAAACTCCATAACAACATTAGTAAGAAACAGGCTGACAGTGATAATCAATGTCAGCGTCCATGTCAGCAGTCAGAGGTCGATTATTTGATTATAATCAGCCATGTCAGCACAAGCTGCTCACATTAGCTGACAGCATCCTGCTGATTTGCAGACTGTATCAACTGAGTCAGGTGGTTTATTTTGGCCTCATCATTTAGAATGCCGTATATTTACAGAAGTTTGATATGAAAACCTTTTAGCTTTGAAAAAGATTTGCATGCAGAGATTATCCAAATATTTAGATACCAATTGAGACTTTCTACCTGCAAGTTGATAATATTCTGCAAAAATAAAAACATCTTTTAATGGTTTTAATGTAGATACATTTTTCATGTTCATTTGTAAAAGATCTTTTTTCATAAAAAAGAAAAAAAAAACAGTAGGGCTGTAAAAGAATTGTAGATTTTGAAAATATTGCCTTAATTAGTTCTGCTTATATTCTAAAAGCACTGAAAAGTTTAACTATTTCTCAAACAAA